TATATATATATATACACATTCAGACTAGTACTCTTTTCTCTGCTTCAGTAGAAGCTCTGAAAAGTTACTGCTGATGATTAAAACACTGTTTGATGAAAGCTGCCTTTGTCTTTATCACTATCGTTATCACGATCATGATCATTATCATCCTGGAATGGAAAGAAAAAACCTAATGCTACCTGCATGATTTTTGGAGACACTCCATATCTACAAGGAGGAAGCATGTGATCAAGTTGTTGCACTAGTCAGACTAGGAATCAAGGGATTTTGCGCTCTGTCATATCACTGACTCTTTAAACAACCTTTGAGAATTGCTTAAATACTTAGCATATTGGGTAATACGTTATTAATCGTTGTACTACTTGACAGGTACGACATGAGGGTTAATATATAACAATGTAATTTCTTTAAGTGCAAACATAGGACTTGCCTTTTGAGAACAGGTGATCTTTGGTTCAAGGACTGATGAGGAATCTGAAGCTTTCTCTCTGTGCCTTGGTTCACCTTCGGTAAATAAAGAGAATATTATGTTTCTCTTGTCAATGAAGAAATGCTTCTATGTATGTCTTTTGAGTACCTAACTCAATTAAAGTTTGATCTTCCATATGCGTTGCAGAAATACAAGTTAACAGTAATTAATTACCAAAGGTATCCAAATCCTGTTAAAGTCAATGAAAATATTCCCACTGACTTTACCTGCGATGGGATTGGGTCATCATGCTTTTAAACTGTATTAACATCTTTAGATGGAAGCATTTATTGATGTTTTTATCCAGGTTCTGCTGTTGGCAAAGGGCTGGTGACTTTAACCTATTTTTACGCATGGGTGTAAAACTTTGTTTTAATGATTTTTTTTTTCCCCCCCTTCCTGGGCAGGATTTATGTGGGCATCATTCATGTGATACTCTGGGAATGGCGGACGTTGGGACCATATGCTCTCCTGAGCGCAGCTGTGCAGTGATTGAAGATGACGGCCTCCATGCAGCTTTTACAGTGGCTCACGAAATTGGTATGCAGTGCCTTTTCTGTTCGCTTGCCAAATCAAACACTTGTAACAGCTGCATTAGTAACCAAAATACTTCGCAATTAATTCCAGATTTCCCCTGGTCCAGATACTCACTTGGGGATTAAGGCTGTATACATATGCACTTCAGGGTTAACTAATAAGGGATCAGAAGGCAAGTGAAGGCACACAGTAGGTGTTTCCTTTCTGACAGTGTCATTTCTAAGCAGTAGTTGAAGTGAAAATTCGAAGGCTGCTGCTACTGTCCAGAGACATCAATACATGACCCTCCTGAGAAAGCATTGGGACCATCTATTGTAATTCACTTGCATTTACTGCATAACCTTTGGAAAATAATTCACCTTTTTGGACTACTTGCATGCTCTGCTGTTATGAAACCTTTTCCTGGGACAATGTATTACCTGAAGAGAAGGCTTTTGTGAAAAAAAACAAACCTAATCTTTTTCTAAGTGTATGGAAATTCCATCTTTATGGTAAAATATGGTACTAATGTGAATCTTGAAATAAGTGAAATAGTATTAAGTGATAAATGGTTGCTCAAAAAAACTGTTTAACTTTGTTTTAGTCTCTACCGCAGTGGACAGCAATTTAATGTAGGAAGAAGGATCATATTCTGGGACATTATGTCTGTTATGATGTATTACTTGAGAGCCACTGCTTGCCATCTTGATTATTTTTAATTTGCTAATGTTTTGTGAGCTGTGTTCACTGGAAATACATTTGGTATGAGGGCTATCTGCTTTGGTGAGTGAACAGCAATTTAAAAGTGGAGAACTTTTTTTTTTACATTCTTGGAAGGAAATAACAAGGAAAGGAGAACTTTCAGAGACAGCCAATTTCTGAATTGCCTTGTACCTCATGCCAAACCAAAGTAAAGTTTGCTTTGGGAGTATCATTACAGTAGCTCGATTTTCAAGTAGCTAGCAGGTAGAGCCCAAGAGTTATGTGCCTTATATATACCTGGTTCAGCAACCGGAGGTCACCAAGTATGAAAAAGCAGCTGACACATCAATGACCTGACCCTTCAATGATTAGTGAACCTAACCCTGCTGCTCGTACGGTGCCACAAAGAAATTAAATCAGTAGTCACAGGAAAGGGATCATGTGTTGCATGAAAACATAAAATGTTGTGGCATAATGAGTCCCCAAACCAGAAATCTTATTTTAATAAACAAGATGGTTTGGTAGTAACTGAAAAGGCCCTCTGGAAACACTAATTCAGAGTATTTGGAGATAAGTACAGCAATACATGAAGTACAACTTCATATCAGATGAGTTTAGCGGCATTAAGCCTGGATGCTGTGAAGCTAACAACCCATCATGAGCAAATGACCCATCCCAGTCTATAAGTAGGGCAAGTAGATTGGCAAACTTAGCCTGTCACTCAAAGGCCAGTCTGCTAGAGGGACTGCTTCTATCCTTTTGAGTCCAGAAGTGATGCTTACTGGGGAAGGTTAGTGTGCACTGATGAGGCTGAATGAAGGACCTTCTTGTGATGCCAGTGTTAATGTGTCTGGTGTGTGAAGAGGTGGGTAATGTCTCTTGACTGCTATTTTATCAACAATAAATACATGTTTAGATAGGTAAAAAATGAAAGAACATAGATCAGTAAAGAAAAGGATGAGCAGTAAATACACATATTATTACCTTGAATTCCACACAAAGAAAACGCAAGCAAAGTGAATTATTTTTAGTGATCTAGGAGCACGTTTTTGAAAAAGAGCCATTTTCATACCTAGAAGCTTACAGGAATCTGTAAAAGCTATAATTTTCAATGTAAAAAAGGCATGCATTGAAATGGATAAATAAGTACCCTAATGGACAAAAAACCTCTAGTCTGAGGTTGTTTAAAATAACATCCCTTTTTTTTTTCTCCTTGCCATAAGAAAGGAGGGGTGTCAAGTCACTGAATGATCTTTGTGTGTGTGGCCTAAAGTCAGAGAAGTTGAGAAGAAAACACAGCTAAAATTGCTTGAGTACTTACATTAAATTAAAGGTCAAAAAAAGATGAAAAATAAAAATGTGGCATGGATACCCTTTAGTTAAGCACTTTGGGGAAAACCTGGCTTTATTTTATTTGGAGACCAGATTTCTTCCGACAATTCAGAAGTCTTAAAGTTCCCCCTGTCCTGTGGGTGGGGTGTAGCTTTAATTTTACAGTGGCTTAGTTATTTGGTGGAATTCACCTGGCAGCATAGGAGATGCCCTGCATCCCTAGAGGGGACACTAAGAGCTCTAACTCTAAGATGCTCCTTTCTGTCAGTAGGAAGAGTGAGGTGAGTAGCTAAATGAGTCAGAGTCACCATCTGCAGTTTTTTAAATAACCATGCTGCATGTGGATGTGTAGCAGATGCAGCATCTTTAACATTAAGTTGATCTGGAGAATGGCTATGTGTCCTCACTTTGACTTCAAGGGGATCTGAGTGCTCTTGTTTCCTCTCTGAAGGATCCAAGAGCATTTTTGAGGATTGTATTCTTTCTCTGGACGGCCACCAAAGTAAATGGAACTGCCGCTTAACCAAACAGGACGATGCACAACCCAAGGACTCAGGTTGGATACCTGCATAGGAAGCCAAAAAGCAGCCTGCTACAGGATAAAGCCTGTCACTTCTGTTACTAGGGTTTCTACCACATTTTGTGTTAGATGTTTATTTTATTTCTTTCAGGTAACATAGATGGATTTTGACCAGTGGTTTTTGAGGGGGAGAGTGTGAATAAGAAGCTGTAACAGGCAAGATCTCCAAAGAGCTGTAAACAAGAGCACAAAAAGAAATAGACGCAATGAAATTCTTAGTACAACTGTTAGCTGACAATAAGAGATGGAGATCCATATATAAAAATTGACGAGGTAGGACCTGACTCTTGTCCTGCTTGTATGTAGGAAAATCACAAATCATGTGTCCAGTGTCAAATGCAGAAAATTAGGAAAATGGAGAAAAAAATAGGAGGAAACCTTGTAACTTTGAATATGATAATCCAATTTCTCCTCAGAATAAAGGGAAGCAGGGCTAATAGTATAAATGTTATTTTTAAATCATAGCCTGTCAAGGCATCCAGCCACTAATGGTGAATCCATATATGGTTATTTTGTAGTGGGGGACACACTGCTATCAGTTAGGACTGTAGTAGCTTTGCTGTCACACAAATAGTCTTCTTGATTCTTGCCTCATCAGCTCAGCTCCATGCTGTGGCATATGGATGTCTTTTTTGACTGTAAGCAACTCCTTCAGCTATGCCTCTATAGCTTTGCAGGCATATTTGAGCTAGCTTAGGCGCAGTATGTAGACATTCTCTAAGTCTTTGTTATCATCAGCCTATGGTCTGTAAAAAAATTATGTTTCCCTATTTCATGCACTTCCCTGCCTCGCAGAGACATCTAGAGAAAAGCATTGAAGAACCTATGATTCCTCATAATCTCAACATTTTTTTAATGTTCTTCATAGGTCAGCACTAGCATATTGTTTCTCCATATATCCCTTACTAAAATAACCATCAGGAGACAAAAATAACCTGATTCTCACTCTAACATTCCGGACTTCTGGGTTGGAGATTTTATTGCTTTTACAGTGTTAAATTATAAGCCAATCTGTGCATCCCATGAAGACAAGCATGATCCAGCATCACCAACAGGCACAGTCAATCAATTTGAAGTTACGTTTAACATCATTTGCGATGGGATACATCCAGTATATGGCAATTCCTTGTTTAGTAGCATGGTGCTGTATTTTGTGATGCATTTGTAGTCAGAAGTTTCTGCTGACTTTGGCTTCTCCTGTGCTGGAGTCCGTGTTTTGGTACAGGCAGCCCATCGTCCTGAAGGGGTTGTCTTCTACAAGAACAAATGGGAAGAGTTCAGGAGAAAGTAAGTGGGGCTACTGCTTGTTTTATCAATAGGTAATTTCCCAGAATCACAACAAAGTCTCAAGGAAAGCCTAGGATTAAACTTATCTCTTGAGTTTTGATCTAGTCCTTAAATACAAAAGCATCCTTCTGTCAGTCTTTAAGAAAACAAAGCTCCAGTTTAGTTCAGTGAGAGTTACATGGGTCTGTTAAATTATATGTTTCTTTATTCTTTCCATCACTCTTGAAGAACTTTGTTCTTTTTTTTTTTCTTTTCTTTTTTAAAGAGAAGATAGAGAGAAAGCCCTGCCTTTTTGCTCAGTGGTAATGTTCATTTGACCTTTTGCAAAGTTCCTATTTCTCTGTTATGCAACCACACTGGCATGCTATTACTCCTTCTATCCTCCTGAGTAATATAGTTTACTGATGTTCTTTCCAAGTATTTTATTTTTAGAATATAGCTTAAAAATTGCTACATGGAACTAATTAAACCTCTGTTCATTAGTTTTCTTTTATCTTTTAATGTGACTTTAGAGAAAATAAGGCCAAAGGGGGGCATAAAAGCAGTCTTCAGATATATTAAAAAAAAATTGTTGCGAAAATTTACATAATAAATCATTCTCCGTGTCCACCTGGGACAGCACAAGGGGTAATGGCCTTAAATTGCAGCAAGGGAGATTTACTTTAAGCATTAGCCAAAATCACCTAACCAGAAGGACAGTTAAGGGCAGGAATGAATTGCTTAGGGAGGCTGTGAAATCTCCGTTACCGGAGGTTTGCAGGAGGCGGCTGGCTCTAAAACAGCTGTGGCTTACGGGAGGCTGATCCTGCCCTAGGGCGGAGGGATGCACAAGATGGCTTTTCAAGGTCTCCCCTCAGCCTCGTTTTCTTATGGTTATATGAAGTTACCACAACTTCCTCCACAGCTGTACTGCCTAGCTGAACAGCTAAAATCAAGGAACTGTACAGAAAGTAAAACTAGAGCATAACATGTTTTGATGTTTAAATCTTTTTCAATGTGCCATCATTCTGTGGCATCTGCCATCACTGAGGACAAAAATATCGTGAGCACTGTCAGAACAGTGTAGTGCTTTATCAGAGAGCGTAATTTTATGTAAAGAAGCCATTTTAGAAGTGAGGGGTCA